TAGGTATGCTCTTATTTCAATACCAGTCAATACCATATGGTATAGACTGGTATAAAATGACTCAATTATTTTTGTTCGAAAAATATATCAAAGTGGATATCATTTTGAAGAGCACAATTAATCTGATCTAACTGTGCAGAAAAAAATTCGACTTAAAACGAGTGAGAAATCGTCCGTCAAAGATCAAGGAAGGGAAAATTAAAGGTTTTTCAGGAGAGAGAGGATGTTGATGTTATGTTGATGTGGGCGGGTTACTCATAGTTACTCACCATAAGGTTACTGACTTGATCCGTTCCCTTGTAAATCCAACACAATGTAAAAAATAGTAAGTATCAATAACTTGAGTTCATCGCTAAAACTAGCACGGTGTGGCTAATGATTTGGGAGTTAATATTTATCGCCCTAGATTTCAAAAAAATTCGCCCTAAATTTCAAAAGTTGACGTATCTACCCCTATCCACAGCACAACTAATTATCGCCCTAAAATTATAACCTAAATTGTCAACAATCCCTCCCCACCAATCCCGACCATCTGTTCTAACTTCTAACAATATTACCCATAGGGATGTCAATCCAACCCGTAACCATGGGTACCCTACCCGATCGTAACCGGTCAACGAGGGTAATTACCCGCTTTGACGGGTTAAGGGGCGGGTACGGATAATACCCGGTTTCAAAATAAAGGGAAGGGTACGGGTATGGTAATCGATAATACCCGCTCCGTTATACCCGCCCCGCTAACCAAAGGGTCAATTTCCCTTGGGAAATTTAGATTAGCTTGAGAATTGAGTTTAGCTACCATTATTGATGATGAAGATGTAGACGATTACTATGTTTATGTGGATTGTAGAAGTAAAAACAATTATGATGTGTTTGCTATTTTTATTTGTGTGGATTGTTGAAGCTAGAACAGTTACAAGTATTGAGAATTTTTAATGGACAACACAACAGTATGTACGTGCATATATGTGTATAAGTTCACAGTTTAGGATTCGTACCCATGGTTACCCGAATGCCCGTGGTTACCCGGTGAGTAGGGTATGGTTATATAATTTTCATACCCGGTGGTTATTTGGTCGGGTATTTTAGAAGGCTCTACCCGGCGGGTTAGGAGTTGGTATAGGGTAAACCCGCACCCGACCCTACCCATTGCCATCCCTAATTACCCATCGCTGCTGCTCCCCGCCGATAGCCAGATGGAAGAAGAAGTTGGCTAATCCGTCGACGCTCTATGAAAAGAGGCAGCCCGCCGCCGCAGGCGGATTCTCTTCCCGCTTCCCCCTGGCAACAGACGTACACCCTTCCCATTCCCAGCGGCAGCGAGACGGGTTGAAAACCCATCGCCGACGGGATCTAGATACGTCGGCGACCTGTCTCGAACTCACAGGCGACGGGTTTTCAACCGGTCTCGTTGCCGTGACATGAATAAAAAAATTTCCCTTTATCGCCCTTCTTCCTTGACCGTATGTGCTTCCTCCTCTAGCGACGACGATGAGCGACGAAAAATATGGGCTTCTTTCTTCTCGCCGGAGGGCTGCGCAGAGGTCGGAGCTCTAATTCGGATAAAAATAGGGGAAGGCAGCGGGCAAGCGACGGGGGTTCCTTCGACTTCCTTCTACTGCTTCCTCCTCCACCGATTGCAACGAGTTCGGCAAAGTGAAGGCAGGGCAGGCGGCGTGTGCTTTTGCTGGGTTTCAGTGGAAGGAGGCGGGTTGTCGGGGAAGAAAGACAGGGGAATGGGGTTAGGGGCAAAATCGGCACTACAATGTAATTAGAAATTCAGAATGATTTTTGATGGACTATAGTAACCGGCTGCCAATGTATCGATCATTCTTTCTGTTTTTGGGTGGCTTTGATTAGGGATTGTTGTTTATGGTTAATCAATGAGATTATAGATGGGTCCTTCTTAAAAAGTAGGGTCGATGAAATTGGTCTTGGGCACGTACGTACGACTCTTTTATCTTAAACTAATTTGAATAATAACCGCATGAAATAAATAATGTTAATTAATTAATCACCTGCTTGGCGCTAGGGATGACAATTTGGACCCGCCCTGCCTGGTATTACTCGATTTGACCCGCGATGGGGCGGATATTACCCGACCCATAGTAGCGTGGGGTGGGGCATGAGTATCAACTTCCTACCCGCCCTGCCTCGGCCCGGCCCATTCTTGGCCCGTTCTAAGTCAATTTTTTATGTCACCCATTCATACATATCATATTTTGGTTATTCTTCAAATAGTTCGATTTGATCTTTCAACTAGATAGACTCAATTACCTATTATATTATCACTATTATTCATTTATGAAGTCTTTTTCCCTTGATTTTATCGTAAAAAGTAAACTTTTGTGTGTATTTTTTCGAATAGCATGTAAGAGTGGGTCGACCCGCCCGGTCCCGTATTCGCGCGGGTATTATCCGCCCCAACCCGTAATAACATGGGACGGGACATGGGTATTGAGGTACCCGCCCCGCCCCGACCCGACCCATTGCCATCACTACTTGGTGTTTGCTTTTATATTTTATTCATTAATTATAGTCCAAATCTACTGGCGATTTTGTCAATACGAAACAGTTAAATCATAAAAGATTCGACCTCATGAATTCACTTAGATATACACATAATTTATTTTTTCACTTAATTTCATCTACAAACCAATCAATTCTTCACTCGCCCTCGTGAATTCAATTGATCAATCATATCATACTGTTAACTAGGAGTGGCTATATGGTCCGGTCCGGTTAATTTGGCCAGAATTGATTCGGTCCCAGTTCGGTCATTTTGGAAATATAAGGACTAAAGATTGGATTGGATACATTCCGGTCTTGATCCAGTCTGGTTTTGATCCGGTCCGGTCCAAATTCGGTCTTGATTTTAGATTGAGATTGTGGAGATTTTAGTGAAGTTTTGGGTGTTGGGCTCTCTTATCCGGTCTTTATCCGGTTTTGTTCTGGTCCCGAGCGGTTTTTTTATCTCAAATCTAAATCCAAATATGAGATTGGATTGTTTGCTATCTGGTCCCGGTCCGGTCTCGGTCCAAGTTATACGGTCTGGTTCTAGGTAAAACCAAAAAGTCCATACCAAATAGCCAGCCCTACTGTTAACCACTTATTATCGCGATGGATTCAACCAGAAAAACAATTCTAATAGCATAACAAAAAAGTAAGATGATTTTTCCCAAGAGGTTTGCTTAGCGATAATGTGGGGAGTGTTAGAGAGTGGTATAAGATCCAACATAATCTTCTCGCAATAACTCGAGTTATTGGGATTGAATGGTGTATTACATGGTATCAAATCTGGTTTGGTCAAGTGGTCGTGTGTTCGAATCTCCACGACTCCCAATATAACATTTGATTAAAAGCACAAGATATAGTGGGTGTACAAATTTTTTAGTTGACTTTCGTTTGAGAAGACGTGTTAAAAAGTGGGATAAGATACAACTTGTTGGGTGAAAATTTTTCAAAAAAGAATTGTGTCGTTTTTATTCTCTTCACAAGCTAGAAATGACAGAGTAACTTTCCCAAACTCTATATACACACGATTATCCACATGCCATAATGTGTAGACTGCAAAAGAGAATAAGGAATTTATTTATTTATGCAACGAGGTTTGTCTCTTATTTCCCGTACCCCTCGAACAACCTTTGACACATAAATCTAAAGGAGTTTTACAATACTTTATAGTTTGGTTGGTTTACAAATTTGTTTTGGTACAAATTTTACTTGTATTTTTAAAATTCTGGAATAAATTTATTTTGTATCGTTTTTCTATAAATTAATTTATGATACAAAATAAACTTGTATTTTATATTTTTAACGTTATTATATAAGTTCAGTTTTTACTTGATATCATTTTGTAAAATTTCTTTGTGGTACAAATTCCTTTAGAGCTATAGAGCATAGTAGAAAGGCTCTAAAGCTGACCATCAATTTAATTAGAGATAATAATGGACAGTTTATCGAAATACCTTTTACATACTACACCGTTTTAGACTTTCAGACTTAGATCATTAGAATTTAGAGTTTACTCGTTAACGTTTAAGATATAATACTATTTCCCAAAACTCTATTTAGTTCAAACTCTAAATATTATATTTTTACGGTAACCCCGAATTCACTGGAAGGTATGCGCTAATCAACAAATAAAAAGCACATTTATCCTGCGCTACATAAATAACGAGTAAAATTAGTAAATACAACAATAATGTCCAAGTAATTAGTTCAAGACATTTAAGAGTTGTACGTAACGTGCTGAAAAACAAAGCGGGAGATCCATCGAGATTCGAGGCCACATCACTAGTGACGTAGGCAAGTTTTTGTTTAATGTGAGTCTGATATATACACACACGTTAGTTTTAATTATTTTTTATAATACAATTTGTTTTCGTAATTTAATACATTTATCATCCAAACTATAAACCGTGTGTTGAAAATTCATTCTAGCTTCATTACTCATTTGATATTGAAATGCGCCCGTGACATATACTTCGTTGTGGAAAAATACCCTTTCAAAACCTCCTATTGATTGATAGTAACAATACTAGTTTCATAAGTCGATACGCGAATTAAAAAAACGTAAATAAATCTAAACAAGTAACAAAGTATATCAGAATACCAACTATTATTCATTGATACATACGTTTCCTGATAGTATAAGAAAATATTTGAACTCGAATTATACTCGCAACACCTAAATCCGTCGTTTTTTATATTGTCGCCGGCTGGAGCCAAACACCCACCTTAACTCTTGGCTCCGCCACTAATCCTACCTCTAGTATTTAAGAATGACCCATCTCATCTCTTCTCAACTCATCTCATCTCAGCTTTCATCACAAACAACAAACCCTAATTAATAGCCACCGCGGTATTTAATTTTTAGCGACCAGCAACAGCCGGCGGAATTACTTACTATGATCCAGCAAAAATTACTAGCCACCGTGGTAGCTTTAGCGACCGTAGTTATCATTGTCCACGGAAAAGAGACCGTCACCATTGTCAACATGCTTCCCAAGACGGTAACAGTGCACTGCCGATCCAAAAACAACGACCTGGGCTCCCGCGACCTCAACACTTGGGACGAGTACAGCTGGAGCTTCGGCAACAACGCTTTCGGCGGGACGCTGTTTTGGTGCGACCTCAGGATTGCGAAAGCCAATCAGTGTCTTCATTTCGATGCATATGATCAAGACGAAAATAAGCATGTTTACCGGTGGGAGGTCCATGGTGCTGAAGGGATCACCGGCACGAATCAGGACGGCGCTCCGGTGGGCGAAGTGGCTGAATGGAGGCAGTGTTAGATTGATTTCATCATCCCACCGTGCGAGCGAGTTATTGGGAATCGACTGGCTCTTAATTGACGTGTTGTTCTGTTCGTGAATCTCGGATATCTGGGATGTGGGTTACGTTGGCCTTCTTGATAGAAGTGTGATGACTTGATCTTCGATCGTACGTTTTGCGTGTTGCTCTTTTTTTCGTTGGTGTGTTTTGTTTTCTGCCTTGAATTTCTTCTCCATGGATGCATGGAGAAGAAGTCTTTTTTTATCCCTTTTGTTTTGGTGTCCACTACTACGGACTGAATTAGGAAGGAAGCCTGGTGTGTGGAGCTCCTTTTGATTTCCTTCTCCTTATTTCCTCTTCGATTATTAAATAAAAGAGTGGCCATGAAGAAATTATATAAGATTGCTTTTGTGTTTCTTTCAATGTTTCGATTTATTGAGTTCTACTGATTTTTGAAGAGTTGATATGGGAATACATCATGAGTTCTTAGCTGAAATCTTTTTAGGAATGCCATACACCTATTATCAATGAAAAGGATGGAAGAAAGGAGAAAAATTGTAGATCGGGCGCAACTCGATCGAATCACCTTAGGATATCATTCACTTGATTAAAATGAGTTGAAGAGTAGATTTGAGAATTGAGAAACTTGTTACAATAGCAAGGCAAAAATGCGATGAAAAAAATGCAAATAGACATGTTTGAGAACTTTGCAAATCAGAGTGAACCATAGTTAGTATAAAATATGTACACGTATTTTACTTCTTCTCTAACCTAATGTTATGTTTGATAGTATGTTAATTATCATGAATATATAAAATTAATGATTTTAAAAATAAATAAAATAAATAATAGTAAAGTTACCAATTTAATTCATTAGATACGGATATTAAACGTATTACGCGGATTTTATATGTGTTTAGTACGGGGGTCATCAAATGAATGGGGGGAAATGAAACGGCTTGATAGTAATACGAATACGATACGAAAGTTTTAAATGGATAAAATACGTACGGGTTCATATACTTGTATTAAATGGTGTATTTACTTACTATGGAGTGAACTATCAAAGTTTTTCTGACGGCTATTGCAACATTGTGCATGGGGTCCAATAACTCGAGTTGTTGAGAGAAGGTTATGTTGGATCTTATATAGACTCATGTATGGTACTTAACTACTTCCTTACAGGGTATAAGAGCAAGGTAAGACCAATGAGATTGATGAGGTTTGGGTTTGGGAAACACAAGAGTTTTTATGTGAGAATTACCTGTGGTTGACGAGTGAAACACAAGAGGTTGAGCGAAGAAATCCAACCCACACATCACACATGTGTGTGCGTATGAAAGTTGTGATGACAGATTTAATTTGAGTTCAACTATATGCATTACAAAGTTCTATGAATACTATGATTACCGTAGGTTTTCTAACAGTGATGAATAATGCATCTGAAATTTTGTGTTTCGAATCACTTGTTGTCATAACTGAACCTATCATTTGTGACAATGGTAGATATATATGAGATGACATAGCCTTCACTCTTTCGTAGCATATGCACAATATCATTTCTCTCAACAATTGGTCCGACCCAGCTTAATTATAGTTGAAACCACTTATCAGCCCAATCCACCCACCAACCTCATGTTAGCCCAACAAGCTATTGGACCCTGTTAAATCTTATAGCAAGGGTTATGGTTAACATTTGGCACTTGCCTTTATTTTGTGTAAATCTGATTATGTGTAGATTTTGTTACTTCACTTACATAATTTGTCCAATATTTTTACATATTTTAAAAATTAATTAAGAGGAACATTTTACGGTAAAAGTGTATATATAATTTTCACTAAGTATGACATAATCAATGATAAAAAAAATACCACGAACCTCACAAAAATAGTGTTACTCCTAGTTATTTTTGGCTGTCAAACTATGAATTTCTTTTTTGTTTGGCTTTGATTCACTAAAGTAAAAACGTATATTTCTTCCAAAAAAAAACTATCCGGGGAAAAGTAAACAAATTTAACTTATTAAATGGACGCCTTTCAAATAATGTGTTAAATCCGGTGCCTGATCAATTAAATTAGCAACAATTTGTGTTAGGATAAGATGATTTACTTTGATATTCTTTCTCGCATTGTATTTATGTTTTCTTCATCAATCTGGATTTTTTACAAAGATCGAAGTTGCAAGGGTGAGATTCAAAGGGATTCGATGAGGAGTTGGGGCTTGGGGATAAATTGGGAGAGAGATTTTGGTGGAAGTTGTTGCAGAAGGTTCTGATGAAGTGAAGCAAGCAACAAAGGTTGTTGCACCATCGAGGAAGGTTCTGGAGGCATTTCATAGATTCGCCAGCTTAATTATGTATGTGAACCCTTGCTATAAGATTTAACTAAATCACAAATTTATTCCATTTCTCCCTCTGCAAACTAAAAATCCCTATTTTTCCTTGTACGATTTTCTTGTTTTCTTTTCGGCTCCTGTTTGATGATTTCGCTGCTCGCTCGCGAGAGGTCAGAAGAGAAATCCCTAATTCTACGGAGCAAGAGAGAGGTCGAAGAGAAATCTCCCTGATTCCGCCGGAGCGAGAGATTGCAAAATCCGACAGAGCGAGATAGGTCGAAGAATCACTAGACAAGTGACCTGGATCTCCTTCTTTTCTTTTCATCGATTGCTTATTTTGTCGGAGTTTTTGTTATTCCGCTGGCGTGCGAGAGAGGCCGGAAGAGAGCTCCGGCTGAAGTCGATTGCAGTCTCCTTCACTCACTCCGACTCGATTCTCCGATCCTCCGGCGTAAAGGTCTGATTCCTTGTCTCCCTCACTCTCACTCCATCGCTTTCCCTCCATCGCGTTGTCTCTCTTTCTTTTTCGGGGAAGGGGCGGGCTCTTTTTTTAGTGTAGGAATTAGGTTATAGTTCCGTCGGCGACTCGATTCTCCGATTCACCTATGCTTTTGTTCCTTGGTCGCCGCCGTCGTTTGATTTTCACCGGATTCATGGTTTAGGCAGTCTCGGTTCATCCTTTTGCTGTGTGTTCGGTTGATTAATTAATGCTAGCTGTTCTCTTGCTGAACAAATTAAGGGACCAGCAGGCTATCGATTACCCTAGCTTTAAGTCCGTGTTCGTCCGCAATGGCGGTACATTTTCGTCGGTTGTATCACATACATCGCCTTTTCATATAATCCTGATCTCGTTTCTTTCTTCTTCGATTTTGTCTTACATTTGTTCGTGGGTTAACTAGCTTGTTTCAACTCCGTTGTGCTATGGTTTAACTATTGTTGTGGCTGTGGATTTCCTTACAGTGTTGGTGTGCTATATTCTTGCTTAGATATTTGATACTTACATTGAATTTGGTTGTTTTAACTTGCCTAGATTTCTATCATTCTGCAGCAACGATTAGTGTGGCGGACTGGCGATTCATCCACTTGATTTCTTCACTAACTGTGGAAAGTTCCGGTTCTATTGCTGGGACACTACTGGCCAAGAGAAACTCAATGGCTTCAGAGATGGATCCTAGTAAGTCTAATCGGTTATTATTTTCTTCATGCTGCAACTGCCTCTGCCTGTCACATAGTCATGTGACTCATGTCCTTATCCAAGTTCGATGAGTTTTCTTTACTGGATTGGTATCCCATTAAGTGTGTATATGTTTGATGAGTTAGACTGGCATTATCTTGTTCTTGGTTCCAAATATTTTCGCTAGTGTTTACGATTGTGTCCCAGAATGTTAAGAGTAATAGTTCCTCGCCGACTCGATTCTCTGATTCTTTCATGAAATTATATGATGATCTGTAAACTGAAATAAAAACTTATGGGTATGGATGATATGAGTGAAGATATATCAAGTTTTCTTATGCTTTCTTATGGCATTGGCTAGTGCACTGAATTTGTCTTCCTGCTGCTATTTTCATTATTGCAGATCGTTTCAAGTTCAAGGAATTTAAGAAATTTGAGAATCGTGACTGAATTCGAAGTGCAAGAATGTTTTCAACAAGGACAACCATCCTTTCAACATGAGGAAGGGTCTGCAGACAGTATAGGTACATTGTCAGTTTTGCCAACAATGGTCCATTGGTCTCAATTAATAATTCGAGTATCGGTCCCCCAGCCAAGGAGGTAATGGCTAACATTTTTCTGTTTCACAGCCGAGGGAGAAGCTTGTTTGGTGATAACATGTGAACTTACTTCCACATATTACTAACTTATGCCAAAGGCACTCCAATCAAACAGAATAACAAAGACAAATAAAACTCCCTGTAGCCGGTAGGAGTACATTATTTTATATGAGCACTTTTAAATACCACTCTTATGTTTATTTCTTTTATCAGGTGTCTTATGGGTCTAATTTAAGCAGTCACGGCCCAACCTTTAGCATGGACTTATCTGATTTCCACGAAGATGGGCAGCCAGTGATTCTTGAGAAGGCAAAAAAATACTTGTTCAAGATCCCTCACAAAAGTGGGTTGCTCTTTTGTATCTTTGGTGATGCTTGTTTATGATTATACAACTTACTCATTATCTTCCATTTCAGGTGGGCAGCATATGTTGCTGGGACCATTTTGGTTTTGATGGAAGAATTAGCTGTGCGATTTGAAGATAGCATCAGCATGCTGGCTCACCAACTATTTATGGCTTTCTGTGCTGAATCATGAAAGAGTTTTTTACGTATCCACCTTCTCCTGTTTTGACAGCAAATCTGCCCAGAGATTTAAAACTGGAAAGCACGCTTCTTGATGGAAGCCCTGCACCTCGCTTGAAGATTTGTGATTTTTGATATTCTAAGGTTTCATATTCTTGATCTTCACCCCTTGTCTTACTTGAGCAGTAACAAGATCTTCAAATATTTTATTGGTGCATTTGTTATGTGATTATTGATTCCGCGGTTTGGTGGTACATAATATGCAGTCATCTTTGCTGCACTCAAGGCCCAAATCGACGGTGGGAACTCCAGCATACATATCGCCAGAGGTTCTAGTTGATCATATGCAGTTATCTTTGCTGCACTCAGGTAAGGTAATGTCTCATCGGTCTTTTTCTAGTTAATTATTTCTTAGCTTTTAGTAGTGTTTAGAGAACTAGATTATAGGAGAAATTTAACATGAGGACAGAATTGAGTTAATTATACTAGCTAGGTGGCATATCTACCCCTAGGTTAAGCGATAAGCATGTTCTTTTTCATAGACTACTGTTGTACAGTAATTAAAAATTAATATAAACTACTGGACTTGTTTAGTTAGCGTACCCTAAATTCCATTCTTTATAAGCAGCAGCTACATAACCCCGCAGTGAAAGATTGCTCTGTTTCTCGATGTTCTTGTATTGTTATTTGTGTAATTGAATTAGTGTTGGCTTGTATGACTAAGTAATTTTTTAATATGTAAATCTTGACAATTCTTTTCTATTATGAACAGGGTGCCACTAGTGATCAAGCTCCGTTTTTTAGTTCTCCAGCTTCTTGATAAGATGGGTCGTGAATTTCTTATATGAAGGATTCAGATCATGATCTACTCATGTAGCTTTGAATAGGGTTCTTTTGAGTACTTGGAATATCACGAATGCGCTATTATTATTTCGGTTATGTTTGAATGTTTATGGTGATTAGTATTTAGCCATGTAAACACCATTTTGGATGATGATTCGTATCATGTTATGATTCATGATATGGAAGGTATATGTTAAGAATTTTATTAACAAACTTGGTTCTGCATTTGTATATAGTGACGAGAGTATTGGCAACCAAGCTATAACCACTAATCCTATGTTATTGTTTAGTAACAAAACTTTTAGTGAGGATTTGGGTTTCGACACAAATATTATCATGCTTTAGTCACAAATTCTGCAAGGGTTTAGACCTTTGCAAGCAACATCTCATAGCTGATAGCTGTTATAATACAGTGTAGCAAGGGTTTTGACCCTTGCTAATTTAAGCAACAAATTTGGCAAGGGTTACAACCCATGTTACTAAAGCCTTTTACATAATTTTACACATATAAGTAGCAAGGGTTTGTACCCTTGCTAGCCGTAGGAACGAATTTTTCAAGGGTTTGAAATTAAACCCTTGCTACTAGAATCTATGGCTTAAAGTTTATAGACGTGTAGCAAGGGGTTAAACCCCTGCTATAACCGTTGCAGGGGACATGCACCAAGGGTCGCATATAACCCTTGCTATATGTAGCAGGGGCGGCTTTGCCAAGGGTCCATCCAAGGGTTGCTTAAACCCTTGCTACGTTCTATAGCAAAGGTTAAAACCCTTGCTACATATGAAAATAACCCTTGTCATAGGTCTTCTTTTTTGTAATGCCAGCAACCCAATAGCTAGGGCCAAAAAATTTCAAGAACTTTCAGAAGAAAGAAAGAAGAAAATAAAAACATGTTGGGCTTTTCCTACTGAGATGGAGGCCTATCCATTATCAATAATCGGGTGCATTTTGGGCTTTATTTAGTTGTTGAGGTCATATTTATGATTAGGGATATGTAACAGGTTTTGGAGGGGTCGATTTTTCTAAATATCATCGACGAACCATGGTTTTAATATTGTGTTCGTCCAAAGAATCAAAATATAGGCGTGAATGTAAAATGATATTCCAAAATCTACCCAGTGTTGTATAGAAAAACTGATCTGCAGAATCACTTTGGTGGTGATTCTGTTCTCTACAAACAAAATGTCTTGGCTCTTACAGGTTTTCAAGAAGGTAAACTTCCTATCCGTTACTTGGGATTACCACTTCTTTCTGGCAAGTTCTCTTATGTTGAAATGGATAGTCTGGTAGAAAAGATTACAAAGCGCATCAGATCTTGGAGAGCCAAAAAACTCACCTATGCAGGGAGGTTGCAGCTTCTTAATTCTGTCATTCTGGGGATGGTGCAATTCTGGATGCAGATGTTTGTTCTCCCGAAGCAAGCTCTCAGGAAAATACAAAAAATTTGTTCTCAATTTCTCTGGCATGGGCACGATGAAGGCAAAGCAAAAGTGGGTTGGGACCAGGTTGCTCTCCCCAAACGTGAAGGGGGACAAAGGATCTACTTGCCTGGAATCAAGCTTGTACAGGTAGAATGATCTGGTTATTTCTGATGAACTCAGGGGCTTTATGGGTGGCATGGATAAAAGAATACAAGTGCATGAATTGTGATTTCTGGGCGCTAAGGGTGCAGTATAGTAGTTCCTGGGATTCCGAAAGATTCTAAAGCTTAGGGCAGTAGTTCTTCCATGGATTCTTGTTCAGAATGATAAAGTATACTGGGATTCAAAAGAGATGGACACTTATTCCATCCGTCGGGTTTGGGAAACCTTACGACAGAGGGCTCCTAGAGTTGAATGGTATAAATTGGTTTGGGGTAGTAACTGTCCTCCTCGTTTCTGCTTACTTGTTTGGATGATCTTGAAGAATGCTATTACCACTAGAGACAAGTTGCTGAAATGGGGGAAAATCAGCACAGCCGAATGCCCGCTGTGCTTTTGCAAAAGACCTTGCTGCAGAGTTGGGATGTAGGCTGTTACAGTTTCCTGACTGGAATGCTATGATTTATTCTCATTCTCGGGCAGGAACGGCTCCACTTGGGGAATGGTAGGCCCTTGTGTGGTGCCTACTAATTGCATTCATTTGGAAGGAGAGGTGTGGAGTGGTTTTTGGAGCTTCGATTCGCACTCCAAGGCAGGTTGCTGAGCTCATCAAACAGGAAATGGTGTTTCTAACGTATGGGAATAGAGGAGCTCGTGATACTTTAGTGAGGCTGGGTTCCTTTAGATTTTTTGGGTGGTTTATTTTTGCTTTGTAGGTGATAGTATACATATAGGTTGTTTGAGTTTGACAGGTTGTTGGAGACTTTCGGGATGACTATTCCCCTCTTCGTTGTATTGGTTACTTGGTAATAAAAGACAACTGATTCAACGGAAAAAAAACTGATCTGCACCTTTCTCGGATAATCATGTATAAACTTCTTGATATAAAATATAAAAAAATTTCTTAGAGTGTCAATATTACTTTTAAGTTCTGTTAAAACATTCTTCATAAAAGAAAAGGAAATAGATTTTTATCTAAGAGATAATTATCTAAGGAACTAAATCGTCATACTCACTTTAAAAAAGTTCAATTATGAACCTTATATTATTTAATAAAACGCCCCGTCATACAAAAGCCAACACATATGAATTTGAAGTTTGCACATGTCTGAGTACTACATGCTTAACAAATGGAGACATCGTAGAAATTTAAATAGAATACCTCTGAATCAACAAACGCTTTGGTACCATATAAAAAATCAAGTAGTCTCTACAACTCAAATTATTGAAAGAGATTCAGCTATAGATTTTATACCATTCATTAACCTATCATATATTGAAGACATGCTCTCTACTTGTAAAGAGAGCACCTTTTGAGAACTAGAAATAGATAACACATAGTTTCATAGAGGTTTTGTTGGGGTAAGAGGCCAAGTCGTCGCGCGTCAAAAGCTCGCTCCCAAAGAAACCCGGACGCGCGTAAAATGTCGAGACAACGATGTCGCCCGACAACACGTCCCATCATGCGCACAACTCACCTACTTCCACAGTGGTATAAATACCGCATTTACTACGGAGAGAAGGGGATCGACCAAAGGGACTAGACCATTCTCTCTCTAACTTTCTCTCTCTACAATCTCTCTCTGTAATCTATTCACTCCCACATCTTAATAACATAGCTCCTTTTTGGCGCGTGCTTACCTTGCATTACTCAAACTCCTTTATACTTAGTGTCTCTCTCCTATCACACCAGCGAGGCATAAACAATTGGCGCCCACCGTGGAAATTGAGTATGTCTAGGAAGCAAGCGATGAGGACGGCGGAGGAAGACCGGAACCCGACAGCGGAAGAGACGACTCCACTACAGAGCGTGACGGATAGGCGGGTTTTTGAATCCACCAGCGACTTCAACACGGTACTGATCGAGGAGGAAGAGCCGGAGATGTCGGCGAAAGAAATGCGCGCGCAGATGGCGCATAATAACCGAGCGGTGACGGAAATGCAGGGACAAATGAACTAGATATTAGCCCTCATAACCGGAAGGCACGCACCGAAGACTAGTGACGCACCTGACCCCACTCCGGCGAGGAGAGAAGCTGAACGTGCCGCTCCCTTGAACCAGGAGCCTAGGCCGAGGGCCGACCTAGACTTCCTCGAGCAGCACCTCTCACCCCTGTATCGCGCGCCCGATGACGCGCGCCGGCCGCGGAAACCTGTGATAAGACAACCCCTCTGCGAGGACATCATGATGGTGCAGATTAGCGGAGTACTCCCCACCCTCCCGACGTACAACGGAACGACGGATCCAGAAGACCACGTCAGCGCGTTCTGCCTCAGAATGCAGTTGCAAAATTGGTCCAATGCGGCGATGTGCCGCACTTTCCCGTCCACCTTTTCGGGCCAGTGCCTCGATTGGTACAACCGGTTGCCAAGCGGCATCATCGAGACATTCGAGGAATTCATTCGCCTATTCACCACCAAATTCGCGTCACAGAAGAGGCGGCCGCTCCACCCCAAAGCGCTCGTAGACCTCAAGCAGAAGGAAGGTGAATGCTTGAGAGCGTTTTACACGCGATGGTCGAGGGTGGCCATGGTAGTGCGCGACCTCACGCCGGAAACCGCCGCACAGCACCTCATGGATGTGACGACCAACAGCGAATTGAGGCGCGCCCTGGCAAAGAGGCCCGTGATCTC